TCTTCAGTTACACTTGCTTCTTCAGATTCCCATTCGAGTTCTTTTCCGCCCCATACCACACATATGTTGCAGATTTAGAATGGAGTAGATAAGAGTTATACAGTCTTTATAAGAATACTGGCCATATTTAATATCGGTTGTCTTGTAGCAAATTTGAATTCCTCACCGAGCCGAGTATGTTCTTTTTTACATACTCTAAATTCAATTTTCAGAAAAGAAACAACAATCTCTCTTAGTACAAAGTAAGTTTTATACGAGAATATCGTAGAGTAAAGTTCGATAGATATGTGTTTTGAGTGATAGCGAAAACGAGTATAGTAGTTGCATCTTGGGACTCTTGGATTTCAAATTTCTGCCCCACTGCGAATGAATCAAAGACTTAAGGAAAGAGATCTAGGGGCTGATTGGCATGTAGAGACTTTAATGGATTATAAAGTCCTAACAGTTAAAAATTAACCAATCAAATTTTTATTGTTTTTATTTTTTTTAAAGTCACTGAAGTCATTTTTTATTTTTTATTTTTTCTTCTTCCTTCGCTGCTTTTTTCTAAAGTCTCTAAAAGCCAACTTTGTTTATCTCTCCTCACATAACAAATGTTCTTTTTTTTTTTATCTATTATTCTAATTTTTTATTTCCCAAACAACTAAAAAGCTTTTATGAAACAATACTAAATTTATTAAAAGATTTTTTTTGACTAATTAATTATTATTATTATTTTCTTATTCTTTTGAAATCCATTTTTCTTATAAAAAATTATTAATTAAACTAAGTCTAAGCATTTTAGAGTTAAATTAAATAAATTGCTAATATGGTTAGAGTAATAAATGCCTCGTAATTTTTTTATATATGATAAATTAAATTATTTATGTTTGAGCTTCGCATCTATGTAATAACTATTGCTAATTTTTCATAATTTACACTTTATTATAAATTATAATATTTCAAGTAACAGCAACAATTTTTACAGTTTTCATTATCAATCAGATTTTGTTAATATATAAAAGTAACAGCCAGAGTTCTTACAGTCATCTTCTCTACAACCAAAAGTCTACAATCACAGTCTACAGCCACAGCCCTTACCAATCAGGCCCCTATGGTCTCACCTTCACTTATTCTCCTAACGTCTCGGGTAGAGGTTATCGCCCAACGATGGCTCTAATACGGGCCGTGGGCCTAACTTTACACTGGCCCAATAATCTTTGGTCGATTCGGAGGAAAATGACCTAGGAGCAGGTAAACAAGAGGCCCACGGCGGGTTATCTCCACCCAATAATGAAACACGTGGTCGAGTTCTCTTATCAATGGCCCATGCAAGTAAGAAACATCTAAACCATCGAGCCTACAATTATATTTCCCTTGTCTCCACTATTTGAGTTCTCAGTCAAAGGGTAAAAGCAATTTCACTTTATATGCGTGTTAGGGTAAAAGTAGGTGGTTCATACCTTTGAGAACGATTAAAGCTTAATGAAGCTGATTCCAAGAGAACACCCCGGCGCAGCGTGTCAGGCGCCGCCATCAGTATGAGGAATCAAACACAGCATAGTAGAACCGTATGGTCAGGCAATTGGCACAAGAAGACATATAAAGTAAGAGAAAATCACTTGAGTGCATCATACCGATCCAGATCCGAGGTCCTATTCCCGAACCGACTCCAAGACATGGAACCCAACCGGTATCCAAATCCTGGAAGGTAACTCTATAAATATCCCCTATCTACTGCATAATAAAGATCATATCTTTTTGACGAAAAAAAAAATACAAAGAGCCTTTTTCTCTCGAGCTCAAGGACCATCCTTAGGAACCTTAAACCTCTTTCTAGTTGTTTAGGGCCACCCTCTCGAATCTTCGATGAATCTCTTCGTTGCTTCTGTCCATTCTTACCGGAATTTCACCAATAGCTCTCTCTCTCTCTCTACCAAATTTGTACACGTCACGAAACTTCGTGGACCATTTTAGTGCGGTCCGAAGTTAATATTTCCTTTCTCTCGTTGTCCAA